AAACATGTGGTGTATAAGTGCTTTATAGCACAAGCCACCCGAACAAATTAATTCTCCAGCAATATTCATTTTTCCAAATTAAATCATACTTTCCAATTGATGCATATATTTATCAATAACAGAAAATGAGGGTGATAGGTTTCTGCCAAAACCCATATCTCATTAACCACTGGAGAATGTCTCATCTTAAGAAAGCTACCTCATTTAACACGCTATGATCAATCAATCATGATCGGAACCTTGTATATGCTTGGATATAAAAAATTTTAGTTTTGTATGGGTTTTTATGGTTTTATTTGATTAATTTTAAAAATTGTGATATGATTAGTTGTTAGTGGAATTTGAACCTTATATTAAAATAATATTTAAAATAATTAAATTGATATGATGTAAAAATAGAAAAAGATTATGTGAAGTGATAATTAGTTAAAATTATGTGAGTTGAATAATGAATTAAAATTAATGTAATGTGTTATGTGTAAAAATGATTGATTGTTATTATTTAATTATGTTGATAATATTGAAGATAGTGTAGCTGAATTAAAGTTGAGTTAGATTTGAGTGAAAAAAAAGTGATTAATTAAAAAAGATTAAATTATTTCAAAAATATTGTATCCAAACATGATATTTATTACTTAATACGGTGCAACAATGTGAGGTGACGTGGCCCCATGCAAACCTAGTTTAAACAATACTTTGTTATTAATTTTAATAAAATTTAATCTCCAAATCATCTTGTGAGAATGACTAATAATATATACTAGAGCATTCGCAACAATTTGAATCTACGAAAAACTTTAAATTTATATGACATGTAGGAAATAAACTCAGATATAACAAAATATGTTTTTCAATGTAAGTAAAAGCGAATTATGTTCAAATGATGTGGCAGTAAAAAAAATAGATCACATCTACACGTTAAGTTCATTTTAGAAACAAACAGCAACTCAATCTCTTTGCATTAGAATAATATTAACTATTTTTATTCAATTTTATTTATGTCATCCAAAAGTTTAGTCCACTTATGACTTATATCGAGGTAAGTGAAATTGGACTAGATGTTGGATTTGTTCATTTTATTTTTTCCCCATAATTGTGAAAGTTCGGAGAAATTTTTATTGATCAATGAAAAATGAATCGATATGTGACTTGAAACACGCACAGAATATTATAATTATTGTACTTTGAAATTCTACTGCTTTTGAAGGCTGGGCAGGGCAAAACATCCGTCCACCCACACCCATACGAAATCGTTATCATGTTCATTTGGTGTGTATTTTTTTATACTTGCAATTTGGTACGTATATTAATTTTTTAATCCCCATTTTGAATTCTATCAACTTCTAAAGAAAAGATGGACATGTGCTTCATTAAATTAATATGGACACGGATGCACGACACACAGTTGATTGTGTAGTTAATAGTTAATACTTAATATACATATAGTCCACCTTGAATATTTAGTTGTGTAAAAGGATAATGTACCAAAGTTTGATGCATTATGTCTATTCATTATTATTTAATTTAAACTATATGTAACGTGTGCATTATTAATGTATAACTATGATGAAATGTAACTCGTATTTTGACTTAACGATCCTACTTTACTTGATAAATTAACTACCTATATATAAATGTATATATATATATATATATTATGTAATTAATTAAGTATTTTAATTGTACATATACAAAACAATGTACAATATTTATTAACCATATAATGTGTATTTAATGACAGGATTTTATCTTTTATGCTTATATATTCACTAGTACGTAGCTCGTGCGATGCACGGATAAACAATATGACTTTTATAACATTGAAAAAAAATAAGTAATTAAGTAAACAATGATAAAATGCTTTTATTTATTCTAGCAGTCTGCACGTGCGTATAAAATATGTAAAATCCATATTTTGATATGGATTGTATTGTGAGCAATTAACAAATTCCTTTATTTTAGGAGATATCAAATTCCAATTTATATTTCAAATTACATTCCCAAATTTGTAGGTTGTCTAAGTCATAAAGGTTGATTCGGCTTATTCAGTTTTATGTAAAAAAAAAAAAAAATCTGAATTTAATGGTATTGATATATGAGATTGTATGATGGGGGAATAAACAAATTCCTTTATTTTATCTACCTTTTAATTTCCCTTAGATTTTAATTCAAAACGTGCTGAGCTTAAGTGGCAGGCTCGCACGCTTTGAAATCCTACATGTCATAATATCATGCTTTAGGTTTGAATAAAAAATTTAGAAATAAAATTGGCTTGAAAAGTGCCATAATTAATTATTCCACCATACATAATCAATCTTTCTTTCATTACCAAATTTGTTTTGAGTTTAAAGATCACACAAATTTTTATTTTCTTATTTCATTTTTCTATTTTAAAGATTACTTTTATTTAATAATTGAGTTAACAATGGAACTTTTATTTGACAAGAGATCAATGCCGAGTTAACAATGATTCTTTTATTTGGTAATTGAGTTAACAATATTTTAGTTGATAATTAATTTTTTTATATTCTTTTATTTGATAATTGAGTTAACTAACACCATATCTACATTAATTATTTTATATTCTTTTATTTGATAATTGAGTTAACAATGTTTCTAAACTTTTGGCGAATATAGGATAACAAATTTCTTCACACTCCAAAATCTTGACTACAATGCTAAACGCTTTTATTTTTTAACGGATTTAACACCATATTCTAACGGGATTGAGTTAACGGGATTCTAACACCATATTCTAACGGATTTTTTTTCCATTTATTTATTTTGTACTATAATTCTAAACACTTTTATTTTTTTGTTCAAATTATTTTTTTCAGGTACCTGTATAGTACACGAGTGTCATAGTAGTATCACCTTATTTCATGATATAAAAAATTAAAAATTGAATGAACTAACCTACTCTATAAATATACCATAAAGAAGTGAGACACAAGAATTTTTACAACAAGACACAATTAACATAACCACTACTTCACAAACGTCAAATAACCATATTTTTAGGGAAAATAATACTATATATATACACTACATAATGTCATAAAATAAAATTATCTATATTTATAAAAAAAATAAAAAATGATTGCATAATCATTAGTCAACCTAACATGAACACCTACCGACCCTTAGTAGTTGCACAAGATATGTAGTCTTCTAAATACTAAATATCTAATAATGTTGTTGAAGATTCATAAACCTTGTTCATTCAACTAAATAGTAAATAATAATTAATATTAGGAATTTAAATCTCCATCGCTAGCGGACCCAATAGAAAATAGCCAAATACAGAATTTCTTAGTTGGGTAGATGGAGTTGGAGCCAAGAGTGCTCTGGATTTCAATATTCTATATGCAATTTTTTTCTGTCAAAAGATACGCGTATCTTGGCGTAGGATAAATAAATCGAGTGGTGAAATTTTTAATACATAGATAAGAATGTTGATCAATTATTTAACGACATTAATTAATTATATATATATGTATAAATATATTTAGGAAAAAAAATACTATAAAATTAGAGAAATACTCATGTTTTCCATAGGGAGAAGTCTATAACCCAAGAGAAAAAGACTTATAAATTTATTTTGCTTAACATAATTATGTTAATATAAAAAATTAGTAGACGCCCTACAGTGAAAACTAAAACACAGAAATGTAAATCTTTAATTGAAAATTTTATAAAATTAAGAGTTTTTAGCAGGGAAGTATTAAAACTCATGACTTATTTTTACATAATGTTAAACTCAAGCAATTTCCCCGAAAAACAAATACTAAATTTCATTATTTAAAATGATTAACCAAATACTTACCGTGGACCGTGGACCGTGGACAACCACCGTACACTTGTGAAAAGAAAATAACACTCTCGTATAAGCAAACTGCCAAACTCCCATATTCAAGCGATGCAAAAACCATGTGAGGTCCTGATTGGCTAATTTCAGTTCACCTAAATTTTATCAAAAATGCCACGTTTGACCTTTTAATTTAATGCTCTGCTCTGTCCCTCTCTCTCTCTCTCTCTCTCTATGGATAACCCCCTCGGCCACAGGTAGTTAAAGGCTTCTAATTTTTGTCTCTTTGGGTTTCTTTTTGCAGGCGAACAGTACAATATTCTCTCACAGCAAAAAGCCCGACCTTTATGAGCATTAAAAAACAGCAGCAAACAAATATACAACTCTTTTTTTTTTATCATGAAAGCCATGTTTATTTGAAAGAGTTTCTTAGCATCATATCTATGTGATTGGGCAACGGTCTTTTCATTTTTCCTTGCCGACATGGAAAGAAAGTGCCGGACCTTGAAAGCTAAAAGGTTTCAAAGCTGGTTTTTTGGGAAGCAAAAGAGAGCCGATTTATTTCGACGGAGTGAAACTTCAGGTAGAGTACTAGGATTAATATATATGTATGTTTACATAGTGCTTTGCTTATGTGCTGTGTTTTCATGCTCCACTGTATGTGAGAAGTGAGAACAGATGAGGGCAGATATAAGAATGATTTCTCGATCGAGTCATTGGAGATGGCTCCAGGAGTTATAAGCGAGGAATTGAGGTTAGACTCGATAAAAAAACGTGCTAAAATAAGATGAGGTTAAACTTCACTTATTGTCTTTTGTTGAGGTCCTTGAGGATGAGGATATATAATTTTTTTCTTTTGTTTTTCTTTAAATGTTTTCAGAATTTTCGTGGGTACTTGGAATGTGGCGGGAAGGTCTCCTGTGGGGAGCTTAGATGTGGACTTAGCCGAATGGCTTAACCCAAATGACACAGCCGATATCTATGTTCTTGGGTAAGCTCTTTCTTTTTTCCTGCCCGAAAGGCTAAGCCCTTTCTTTTTTCCAATTTTTTTTTCTTTTTTTTTTTGCGTGTAATAAGTTTAATTTAATCCAACAGTTTCCAAGAAATTGTCCCGTTAAAGACAGCAACTGTAATTGGAGCAGAGGACCAAACCGAAGCTACGAACTGGAACTTACTAATAGGGAAAACACTCAATGACAAATACGGATGTCCATGGCTGACACCTACCGTACATCCCGTAACTAACGAGAACTACCAATATAATCGAGTCCCCAGCAAACAAATTTCCAAAGATCAGCATAGATACAAACTAATGGCAAGTAAAAAGATGGTTGGTGTCTTTATAAGTGTCTGGATAAGAAGAGAACTGCTCGAAAGACATGAAGTAACACATGTTCAAGTGTGTTCGGTGGCCTGTGGCATAATGGGTTATTTGGGAAATAAAGGATCGGTTTCGGTTAGCTTATCTGTTGGTGGAACTAGTTTTTGCTTCATAGCTGCACATTTAGCCTCGGGCGAGAAGAAAGGCGATGAAGGAAGAAGGAACTGCCAAGTCTCGAAGATTTTTAAGAGAACATTTTTCCCACGGCTACCTGAAGGTGGCGGCAAGTTTCAGCCACTATCCATCTTAGGACATGAGTAAGTTTCTCCCTCGAGAATTTTAAAAAAACATATAAAGGAATGTATTATGTGATATTTCTGATTTTGTTAATAATTATTAGGACAGCCAGATATTTTGGTTCGGAGATCTCAACTACAGATTATATCTAGAAGACAACTTGGCAAGGGAGTTGATAAAAGAACAAGACTGGGAAGCTTTGCGGAAATTTGACCAATTGAGAAGGGAACTCGAACATGGAGGTGTATTCCAAGGCTGGAAGGAAGGGAACATTGAATTTGCTCCTACTTATAAGTATTCTGCCTACAACTGCAACAGGTACTCGGGTGGAATCCCATGTAGAGCGGGAGAGAAGCAGAGGACTCCAGCATGGTAAAATTTCTATCACATTGACTTTTTTTTTTGTTAACTATATTTATTACCCATATCGGTGAAAAAAATCTTTGCACAGCATATGCATGTACCCAACTACTTATCGAAGTGTGTAACTGTATATTTTTATCAAGTGGGTGAACTTTGAACGGGGCTTTCACTTAAGAGGAAAAAAAAATTATTTGGAATATTGTCTTAGGATGATGATGATAAGGTGGTAATGGTTCCTAATTGCAGGTGTGATAGGATACTGTGGTATGGCAAAGGAGTGAGGCAACTATCTTATTTTCGAAGCGAAAGCCAATTTTCTGATCATCGACCTGTGTCGGCCCTTTTCTCTACTCATATTGTAGCAAAAAGTGCAAACACAGAGATGCCCCCAGTCCCGATAAATCGAACAAAAATTGTAAGTTCTCACAGTTTAGCGGAAAAACTCTGCACGTTTGCTCCGAAAAGAGAATTTCCATGAAATGAAAATCAAGATATAATCCTTAATTTTCTTATGTAAATTTTGCAGAAGAGAAACTAAATGGTTAATGAAGACCTTACATCCACTTTGAGTTGTTAATAGTGAATGGCAAGTAAGCTACACTGACCAATATGAATAGAAGTGATTGACTCGATTTTTAAGTATTGCTACTGAAAAGCTTCACCAGGGACCAGCCTTCCCCTTCACCACCAAAGCAGAAAATTTAACAGTAAGCATATGATGATGCGGAAAAGAGAAAGGAAAGCTTGGTGTATGTTGAAAGAAGATCGTAGGATTTATCTAATGGCTGGATCTAAGAAAAGAAAACTCAAAAGTTAGGGTCAATGGATACTTGTACATCATTTCCCTGATAAATTTTGATACAGAAAGTTTTCAGGGCACCTATTACGAATTTTAAGAATGCAATTGAACATGAGATGAAAATAAAAATAAAAAAATGATGTGAATGGAAATGCTGTGTTGAAGAATTTGGATATCCAATCATAGCCTTAATATTTTGAATGTGCGGAGGCAGAAAAAGCTCTGTGCATCAATATCCATAAAATACAAGCATGCAATATTAAGTCTCAGTATGGTACGGGATTTCTCATAGCTACGACAGTATGGATGTGAGTGATTTGGTATATGAACAATTTGAGTACTTAGTTTCCTTTGTTCGCATTTAGTGGCCACACAAAGATCGAGGAGTTATAACGTGACTCAAGAAAATTACTTACTGGAGGAGAGTATGTTAGCTTCCACCACTTATCTGAAAGATTTCGCCAAGTTCTTCTGAGTTATCTTGATGACAGTGGGGACATAAAACCCTCTTCTGCAGTTCATCACCAAGAGCAGCAAACTTCCTTTCCAGTTCTGAAGTCAGCTTGTGTCAAGTCAAGGCATGACATCATAAAAGAACATAGCATACATCATCTAATGTAGAAATATTCACTGTAGCATGAAAGTGTTAGGTGATATTATGCAAGTCACGATAAGATTTCTAGCAAAAAGAAAGTGTTCTACTTTTAACAGTAAAGGAGAAGAAAGGAAAATCTGGAATCGCCTTGCTTCACCAATAGATGAATGCAGGCAACAAATGTTACAGAAGTTTGAAGCCAAAATAGTTGCAAAAACTGTTGATGGATGATTAACGGTTTTGCTATGGAACCATCGGATGGCTCGGCTTATGGAGCATCCATAGTTATCTTGCAATAAATACACAATGGACACGTGTCAATACATAAAGTTATGGATGGCTCCATAAGGGAACCATCCAATGGCTCCATAACATTTCTGGGATGATTAAATCTTCTCTTTTTCCCTTCTTTCCTATACGGGTTATATTCGATGTTCTCCTCTATAGGGACATGGCGAAAATACTATATAGTGGTTGATTCAAATCAATTTGATAAGAAATGAGGAGGAATGCAATTTAGCAAACAAAAATGACAAATGATAAATTGTGACATTCATGGTTATATCTGGATTCGTCATTTGGAAACAAGCTGGCTTATCTTCACCATTTTTCATCCAGCCTGTAAGGATCTTTATTCAGTAAGTTAAGTCGATTTATGCCCAACTGAAACACAGTATTCAATAGGCAAAGTTTAAGGGGTTTGAATGAGCAAGAGAGAGACTCCAGGTGTTGAGGTGTCAACTATACAGCAACAGAACCAGTTTCACCTCATCTTTCTGAGAAATTTATCCTGATCCGGATTAAGATATCAGGAAGCAATTGAAAATAAATTCAAGGATATCTATTCATCTCCTGTAGTTCCTGGCTTTCTTTCATCACAGACTCCAACAGCGGTGCTTTCTTTTCCAAATTAGTAAGCTCCTGTAGGATCTGCACAAGCTCCAAAAGTTTGTCCAATTTATTCCCCAACTTAAAATTCACATACATACAGCACACTCACAATTCAGGAAGCTCACTGCATAATACATGTTTCTCAACATTTAGTCAAGCATCAAAGATGGCCATCTGAAAACACTTCATCACGCTTGTTTAGTACAAAAGAAACTCCTTACCTGGCCATGAAACACTTGTTCAGCTTTGTATTGTTCTTCTCCCTTGTCAGTAAGCAAGATTATTTCAGCAAGTTTATTCTGTGGAACCATTCCGGCTTGTTGAGCATCTTGATCTGCAGTTAAGGAACCTCACTCAGATGAGTACAAGAATAAGTAAACACCAATTAACTGCAATAAACGATGAGGACTAAGCACCCCCTTGAATCAGTTGTCTCAAAAAGAAATAAAAACAGCCTTAATAAACTTATCATTTATGTCCAGGATTACTTTCTTATTCCACATATCAAACGATTGATTATAATTCCTTTTACACGAGCAATTGTTAGTCATGCAAACTTAATACATACCACAAATCAAAGGTGCATTAGAGAAATCCACCACATTGGGAGGGGAGGATAGCAACTCCTGAAATTTCCTGCGACCCATATAGAGGCATATTTCGAATACAGAGGATCACAAAACGATTGAATAGCTTATACCAAAGCTAGATAGGCCATCAATAACTAGATTAGTAGTTCACAATTTTGTATTTTAAATCAAATTATCCATTTTAACACCATATTGGACTAACCAAAAAATAAATAAAACATGACATGCACATTAGTACTTTGAAAAGGAGAAACCTCTGACATAATTTACATTAAGAATTTTCTGTCAAAAGATAATGCACGCCATAAAACTCCAAATGTTTTAAAGCAAGAGGAAGCAATAGACTACAATTTTTTAAAGCAAAGTATACCTACCTTATCTCTGCATTTAGCTCAAGCATTTTCCGAATAAATTCATCTCTGCCAAAACAAGAACATCATTCATTATTTGTAAAATATACTGAAAAACAAGATATATGTTTACATGTTTATGCATGCATATGCTTACCGTGCGGAACTCTCTTCACTCTTCATAGCATGTAAAGCACAGTTCACAAAACCAAAGTTAAAAAAAAATAATAAATAAATAAAAAAAAATAGGAATGTATAAGTCCATCAGCTCTGCATATGAAACGAGCAATTGCTGAGCAAGTAATTTACCTTGAGAGCCGCCAATTCAGCCCCCAGTCTTGATATCTCACTGTTCGTCACAGAAATCCTCGCCTGAACCGAACACACACAATCACGTTGAGAAATCAAAACAACTTCACAGATAACAAGCAAACGGCAAATATCCTTTCCTTCTGAGCACTCACAAGTCACACCAGGCACTCGAGTTATGTATAACACAACTAATGTACGGGAGTACTGGAAAATGAACAAATAATTGAATCTCCATCAAACGAAAACGCCACTGGAGATAAAAAGAAAATCAAATACTGTGCAAATAAGAACCTCTAGCGCCTGAATGGAAACCTCATTCATGGATAATTCAACTTCAAAGCCTTTGAGCAGTTGCTCAGTCGTCTCCTTACGGCGCTTCGCGTCCTCTAGCTCCGCGCTCGATGCATCCAGCTCGGATCTCAGCTCCTCGATTCGCTTCTTCTGATTCACGATTCGTCTCTCTGCAACAACAAACACACGCAAAAAAAAAAAAGGTCGTCTCCTTGAATAACACAACAAATGTACGAAATCGCCTCGAATTGTACGACGAAATACATAGTCACGGCTGAAAATGAGAGGTTTGATTTTACCTCCTTGAGATTTTTCGGAGGAGAAGTCGCGAATGAGCGTGAGGAGCGGCTTCCGTGAATCGCTTCCCGCCATGGAGCGCGCTCAGTGGAAGCTCGAGTGTTTCGAAATGTTTTGAAATGTGAGGTTGTGTATAGTATTAATTTTTTGTCAAGCTTATGTAATTGTGAAATGCAACGAGTGACTCGTGACATTGACTCGACTCATTTGATAAACGATTCGAAAATCGAACTCATTAATATGGCTCGATAAGACTCGTTAAGCATCAAAACGATAAATTTATTTGATTTTTTTGTAGTTTGGTTCGTTAAAATTATATAACTTTTGTTGAGTCGCTCGTAAGTTTGTATCAACTCATTGGCAAAATTTAAAAATGGTTCACTAAGTTGACACTTTAATCAAAATTCGGACGAAAACCAACATAGTGTACTAAAAGTGATTGCCATTTTTAGTACACTATATTGACTATTGTACGAGTTTTGATAAAAAGTGGCAACTTAATGAACCATTCTGATAACACACTATATGATGGATGTTTTTCAGAAAATGACCAACATAGTGTACTAAAAATGAAATTTAGGCAAACTCGTTTGATTTGATAAGTGAGCTAAATTCGAACTCGTTTAATTAATGAACAATGGTTGGCCCCGCTCGATAAGACTAGTTAAGCATCAAATATATAAACTTTTATATAATTTTTTTATAATTTTAGTTCGTTAAAATTCGAGTTCGGCTCGTTAATAATGATGGACGAACTGAACTTGAACTCAATTACTGATTTATCGAGTTAAAGAACCAATAAGCTAAGCTCGACTTCTTATTAAGAGTGTGATTGGTTATGGGTTTGATTAGTTTTGTTTGTTTATTTGTTAATCATAGTTAATTTTGAAAAATATTGTATAATTAGTTGGAAGTGGAATTTTGAGTTTATATTAAAATAATATTTAAAAAAGTAGTTAAATATAATTTTATGTAAAAATAAGAGAGATGATGTGAAATGATGATTAGTTAAAATTACGTAAGTGGAAGAATATTGAATTAAAGTTGATGTGGTGTATAAGAATGATTGATTGTTATTATTTAATTATTAGTATGTTTTGTGCGATGCACAGAATAACAATATTAAAAATAGTGTTATCATTATTATGATGCGAAAAAATAACACTAAAAATAATTTTATAAAAATAAATATCATGTTAATGTTAAATTAATTTTATAAATTAAATATCGAGTAACATGAATATGTTTTTTTTTTTCGTCGTCGGTTCATTTGAAATTTTTATATAACAATTGAAAACTATGTTGGGAAATAATTTTAGGGCGTTAATCAATTTCAATTTGGGTCGAAAAAAGTCAACTAGTATAATTGTTAAATTAGTATTAGTCATAACTAGTACGTAGCTCGTGCGATGCACGGGACATAAATATTAAATGAGTCATTTCCACAGAGTTTGTCTATTAAGTAGCTCGTGTGATTCACGGGAGATATTAAATGAGTGGACAATAGGGCTTGTCAGTTAAGGCCTAAAAAACAATAGAGTTTGATCATCTTTTTTTTACCTCTTTCATCAACGTCATCGTTTTTGTCGAGACATTAAACCTGAGCCTGGTAGTGGCAGTGCTAGACCGTAAACTAATTAATATATTATCTCGCTCACATGTTTATAATAATATAAATTTGATTTCATTATATATATTTATTCATTGATATAAGAAAAATAACAATTTTACGTAATCTTGTTCCTCGTATAAAATTCATATTATTTTATTATAAAATTTATTGTAATAGCATGTTGACCCGTTTATATTATTATAAATAATATTTTAACATATATATTTATTTTTTAATACAAAATAATAATAATTTTACATATTTTGGTTCATCATAATACTCAATTATTAATCTATCAAAAAATCTATTATCATATAATGTCATTATTATTTATAACACTTGTAGAAGTAATATATTTGTTATATAATGATAAATATGTAATGTATATTAATATTATTTAGTGATGTAATTAATTTAAAAAGATATAAGCAAATTTAATGTTTGATGGGAATGTGATTATATGTTAGTTGAGATAAAATGAAATGTATTAAAAAAATCTGCTTATGATATTTTCTTTTAAATGTTTGAATGAATTTGAAATTCAAATTACAAATCAACCTCCAGTTATTCAAATAATTTTTAAAAAGTTACCAGTTGTAGTAAAATGCACGTGACAATATATTATAAATATACATGACGTCAGTAATGTTATGAATCTTTAAGTTCCTAAAATATATATTGTTTAGATATGAAACTAATTAACTTATATGTTAAGATAATATATATAAATATATGTATTGTACGAAATATACACATGACAAGTTATTATATTTATTTATATATTGTTTGTATATTTGTTTGTATTGTTTATTATATTTGTTTATCATATTTGTATATAAATATATTGTTTATATATTTGTCTGTATTGTACGACAAATTATTATATTTGTTTATATATTGTTTAAATATAATGTTTAGATATGAAACTAATTAACTTATATGTTAAGATAATATATATAAATATATGTATTGTATGAAATCTTTAACGTGTTTGTTAAATTTTTTCCCTAAAAAATTCAAAATACATTTAGGCATGTTTTGTTTGAAGTTTTAAATTCAAATATGCATCTATATAACACATCCCATGATTTGTGCTAGCATTAAATGCTACTTGATTTTTTAATTAAAAAAATTAAAAAAACATACAAAAAATGGAATGCAATTAATATTCCCTATTTTTTTGCTTACTATTTTTGAAAAATGTTAATTCTTATTATATATATATATATATAGATATCAAAAATATTGGCAGTAAGTTTAGATATTATTTACATTAAATGATAATTATAAATTTTGTTATTTATGTTAAATAAATCAAACTTAAATATTATTTAAACTGATGGATAATTAGAAATTATTATATTTCAATTAAATAAAGTAAACCGAAAGAAATGATCAAATTTATCCAAACAAATGTGAGTATGTTTACAATAGAATTGACCTGTCTACAATTTTGAAAACTTGTATAATGTGATAATTTTCATATATCCTTTCAAACGTTATGCAATAATACGAATTAAAAAATTCAATCTGGTTTAATTTTTTTTATAGTGTCGTCTGTTTGTTCAATTTTTGTTGCATTTTTTTTTCCTTTCCCTCCGTTCTGGGTCTTTCTGTTAGTTTTATTCATTTTTATAGTTTATTGCGTGTCTTGTCTTATTTTGGTTTATTAGGTGTCTCTCGAGTATTTTTCCGGTTTTTTTCGTCTTTGGTGTGCAGGATAGAAGGTTCAGGAAGATTTATTTTTCATGATAATTGGACCGGGTAAACACAATTTGGTAGAGCATTTCGTGGGCAATACATAGGAAAAAGCGGAATCGAATTCCGATATCAAACGAGCCCGAACAACTCCGAAATGTGAAGTCACGCAAGTGGTCCGAGCACCAGCACCGCGCCAGCCCAGCGCGCCGTGACCCCTGTCACGGGCCTTCAGAGCGCCATAGTTCCAGCACCGCGCGAAGCCCAGCACGCCGCGGCACATCACGCGACGCACGTCACGGGACTTCAGAGGACATGGCCCAGCAACGCTTCGCGCCGCGAAGCCTTCACCACGCCGCGAGCACCCACCACGCTGTGCCAGACGAGCCTCCCGCGCCATGCCGCACCAACATCGCGTCGTGGACCCTCTCTGCTATATAAATGCGCGTACGATGATCAGAAAAGGGCTCTCATTCCACGAACACACAAAAACCCTATCTATCATTCCTTTCTCTCGTTCTTTTCATTTTTCTTCATCTTTTTATCGTAGAATAAGGATTTAAACTCGGATTTCGTCGTTGCTTTGTGGATTAATCTTGTTTATCGGATTTAACTCTCAATTTCGTTTAATTGTAAGACTTTCTATTTCTTTAATCCATGAATATGTTTGTCTTGAATTATGAAATTGTTTGTGTTGAATCGATCATGAGTGGCTAAATCTATTTGCTAGGGAAGAAGGGATTAATGTTTTGAATTCTTTTGTGATTGTTGGGATTTATTGGTCGTTCTATTTGTACGAGTTGTTCTTCAAAAGGGTTTTTCAAATATTAGGCTTGAATATTGAGAATTATTGAAGGGTGACACTTCAATTTTCAATTTATGATTGAATTCGATATATTATCGCATAATGATGGTTATTCTTATTGATTAGTCGGTTAACAACCCTCTAGTCTAATTTAATCGACTCTTAGAACCGAAAGGGGAGGAGTCGGTCGAAATAGGCTCGTATAAACTAGGCTTGTTCGTAACTGTATTGCGCCTAGAAGTTAAATGACTTGTTAATTTGTCGTTCAAGTTTGTTCTCTTGTTACAAAGAGTTATTGAGGATGAGTACTTGAACGAGTAGGTTATTCAAATCACTTAACCGAACGATCACTTGCCCAATAGTCGCAATTCGAACCAAAACGGATATCCCCGACTCCCTAGCCTCTTAAATCTTGCTTGTTCTACGTATTACTTTGCTACTTTAATTTATCTAATTTAAATTCTAGTAGTCGATAATTTGAAACCAAACCAATCATTTGAATTAGTATGTTTAGGAATTTTATTTCTTTTAATAATGTCTGAATAAACGTGCATAATAATTCGACTAACCTTCCTCGAGAGACACGACCCGTGTTGGGATCTGTGAGGATCTCGTTATGTACAAATCACGAATTCAATAGCAAACGTAAACCTATGCGCAGCGGATCTAAAGGTTTGACGTAGAGAACTTACGGCTTAAAATTTATGTAGATCTGGTTGACCACGAACGGTTGACCGCAATTGATTGACAGCAACACGCGTCTTGGGTTGCACGAACAAGATCAGATCAAAACTGGATCAAACGGATGCAAACAGATCAAAACGAAATTTTGCTGCCAGACACCTTCCGGCGGCGCGTGAGGGCGCGTGCGGCGTCGGATTCCGGCGACGTCGGCGGCGATGGAAAGCTCTCGTCGAGACGGTCGTCTGGGTATACTGTACGTCTCAATCGGACTTCCGGTTAGTTCTGTAGGTCAAAATCAATTTCGTCTCGGT